TGCGCATGCACACATGTGCACTTAGTTCAAATACTAAAAGTAGCTTTTATTAAATATAATCAGCCAAAAAAACACACACAAAAAATCAAAAAACCAAATATAAGTAGTCAGTTTTTCAGTGTTATCGTATTGGTTCTATATTCTATTTTAATTTTTATACAATTTCCATTTTATAATCAAGAACCATCACTTACTTGGATTGGATGTCTTTCAGTCCTAGCACTAATAGGTAGTTGGCTTGCTTTTTTTTTTTTTTTTTTTTAACATAGAAGCAGTTGTGTTTTTTTTGTTTTTTGTTTTTGTCTTTTTTCTTTTTTTTTTAAGCTATATAAAAAGGTGAGGAAGCAGTTTTGTTACCTAATGAAAATTATTACACTCATAATGCTGTGTAGGCAACATTGAGATTCAAATGCCCAGTGGTCACCTGGGTTCACTCATCAACTCATTCCCATCTCAGTTTACTCACATTTCAAATTTATAAATTCTTCGTGTTATACTATTCTATTTAGATTTGCCCAGAATTAATTGAAATAATGCTAAACCTGTCAATAGTTTCCAGTAACATTAAGCACCATACTGCATGGGAGAGACACAGTATTAAAAAGAGTTGTTAGTGCTTTATGTGATATATTTCTTTTGTAATGCTATAAAGAACTACAGTTAAAACAAAATCTTTCAAAGATGTCCTAAAAGCATCTGATCCCAGTAATAACTAATGGATGTCATCTAGAGCAGTGGGTGTTAATGAATAGGTATATGTCATTTAAGAATTTTTCAAATTTCTGTTCGATATCCTGCATAGAATTTGACCAAAAAACACCTCCAAGTGTGAGCATTTTTTATTTCATCTCCCAAGAGTAAGTAAGGAAACTGTTAGCCCAGCCATCTGCCTTGAAGTATACCTTAAGTGACCCACAAATCCATTCAAGAGGCAGGTACTCTATGCCATTTGGCAGCTATGGCCAAACTTACCATGGCCAGATTTCAGCGAAAATGATGAAGTAATCAAATTAAGGTATAATATGGTGTCCCTTTATCTGCTTTATGTTCCTTTAGAGCTGTTTATAAAGTTCTTTATATCTCAAGTGTCAGGATAAATCTATATATTAACTTTTCCCCCTGAGAAATTAAAAGTCTGAGGTACAAGTCTAAGAAGCTTTTAGTGCCCTACATAATATAAATTCTGGCTGGTGTTAATGCTATGAAGATAATGTGTAGTTAGAAAATTGAGTGGGGGAGGAATGCTCTTCATTTTAAGTGGATTTTAAAGTTTCTCTTTCAGTGGATGAAGAACTTGCCTGGTTTGCAAAAATCTAGTTCAAAATTACATTTTCTAACAAAAACTGCATTTTGAGAAGATTAGCTGATTTTACTCAGTAATAAGTCAAATTAGGAAGTGCAGTGTTTTTTTACGTATATATATATATAGCAACCTTGTCAAGTGGTCCTCACAAGAGTCATACATACTTTGTAATTAGCACAGTATATTCAGCAGTGTATAACTCTACAAATAGTACCTTATATTAGTGTAGTATTATATCCATATCTTATATATGATTTTTATATTAATACCTTATGCATAATTTGATTCAAACATTAAAGGTCTATTTTAGTGTTCTTCAAAATGTGGTTCCCTGACCCACTGAAATAGAAATTTGGTGATGGAGTTCAAGAATTTATATTCTAATCATCCCAAAGAATTCCTGAAGACACTAATTTAAAAATGTCTAGTCTAGGCCCC